ATGCGATCACCGGTAATCAGAATAGGTTTCGCGAGCTTGTCAAAATGTAACAACGCATTACTATACCACCGTAACTCGCACTAAGTTGTCATAAATGTGGGGGTAAAATGACACATAACATAGACAGATATGCAGGTGGTTCATATGCTGCATGTGTATTCTGTCAACATAAATATAGATATGATTCTAATGTTGTGATTGTCTAAGACATTGTGTTAGCGGACGTTAGCTGGTGGCTAAGCTATCGTTATTTGTTTACACAGTCGAGCTGAAGTAACTTCAACTACTACATTAGCTACGGTTAGCATCCAATGCTAACCAGCACTAGCTCGGCTAATAAACCGGTATCTTATTACGTTCTTAAATGGCTAAACGAACAAAGTGTAATACGGGGGGTACTATTTACAAGTAAAGAGGTAATCGCTTGTAATCAACTGTGCATTTTTACGTTGGAATCGTTGTGCATTCTCTTAAAAAAAACTCAAAATGTATGTTGTTACTCACTCTCGTCTAACAGCTGGTCCATCTCCGCCATCTTGAATTAGCCGCGCCGCTTTTTCAAAGACCTTGTCAAAATGCATTCTGGGTCGGGACGCCGTCTGGAGGGCGATTTGAGAAAGAAAAAACACAAAGAATCGAAATATGAGACTTTTCATGGTTAATTGAAAACCAAACGAATTATTTCAGGTCACATATGTTCAACTTTATCAGTAATTTCTATAAGAATTGTTTAGACAGCAACTTTACACTGGGGGGTTACTTCTGTTTTATACAGCCGTGGCGCTAAGAGAGCAATCTAAAACAAATGTATGCTTACACACGTTTTACGTTTAAAACTTGAAATATTAAATTTGGCCCCATTAAACAATTCCAATATTTCGTTTCAGAGCGTGCAGAGAATCAATGCATGATCCTGCCACCACCAAGCATGCTTTTTACATGCATTTTTTACATGCTGCAAATATGATCATAAACAAATGTGTATGTTCTTTGTTTGTACTCACAAGTACAAGTTTGTGAGTAAACAGTAAGTACAAAAATCCCATAGTTTTTTTATTTGTTGGCTCATTACAAGATCCTGACCTAAATATCCTATTTAAAGGTATTGAGTTCTTAAAAACTTTGTGTCCAGCATTTAAAATTATTTGAAAATTCTTGTAGAATACATTAATGACTAACCTTTCATTACTTCGATCTTAAAGGAGCTTCCTTAGCTTTTGTTCAACGATGCAACTGGGTAAATGGCTTGACAGAACTGAATAATGTGACCCCAAATCCATCCCAATTTATGGTGCATGCATACATATGTCCAGACTTCTGATATTAAAGTTGGCTTCACACCAGATGTGTTTGATCCCAGTTGAGGTCACAAAGAATGTAAATGCCTGTGCACAGTATTCAAATATTCTCCTAAATGTCTGGTTTAATAGGGCAGTGGCTATTAAATACATATTTCTTTACAATGCTGACCTTTAATTAATCTGCTTTGCAGTCAAAATGTTGCTGAACACAATAAGTTGAGACAGGATAAAAATCAATTTTCAAAAAATGACATGATCTTTGATTTTAAATCTTTTATTTTAAGGTTAGCAAGAAAAAACAAAACTAGGTGTACCATATATCATGGCATCTTTCTTTTTTAACAGAAGACAGTTTGTTATAACTGTAAACTACAATGTTTTTTCTTTTCTTTTTTACCAGGACGGAAGACAGCTTGAGAAACAAACAAAAAATATGTATATACAGCTTAAACATTGTACAGTATCTTTGAACCCCAGCATGTGACAAAACATTCATCTTCTTGTCGATTCTACTGGAGAATCTTTGAGACGAGGGTAGCCTGGGTGAAAAGCTCAAAACTATTTCTGCTGAACTACGGCTAGAGTTTTAAAGCTTAAATTCAAAGGTTATTATGACAGAAAACTATTATACTAAACTGAAACCAAGGTGATATGAAACCACCGTACTCTAAATACTGAGAGAGCAGTGATTTAAGCCAAGAATGACGGTATTAAAGTACATCAAGTCAGGCTAAAGGTAGAGTTAGCTTGAAATATGATAAAACAAACGATAAGTCTGATGTTCTTCATAGCCATTGTAGGTTGTGTCACATCACTGAAGCCAGGGTGTGTATGGAGGCCATAATGGTATTTTGGGGTGTGCATAGCATCCGTCTCACCACAGGGACGTCTGGTAGTTGAACCTTGTCTTCAGGAGATACTTCATATTAATCTGTGCTACATCATAAACAATGTACCTGGAGGAGGAGCGGTTAAAGAAAATTTTACATATAAATAAAATAGATATTTTGTGTCCTGAGTAGAATGGCTACTGTCACACAATAACACATACAAATTGATTTTTAAATTTATTTAATAAACTATTATTAAATATCACTCTCATTTGAATGGTTAACAAGGAGATAAATATTAAAGGATACTCGTTGTAAAGTAGACTCGTGTCATCAATGTTGGTGGAGACTCCTTTTCCCAGAGGCACTTGCACACCGTCCATATTAAAAGAATCTCTAGGATCAGGAGCAGTTCTACCCAAACCTGAAAAGAAAAAAAAGAAAAGAAAAATGTAAACACAAAGAAAAAATACACAATAACTATATAAAATGTGACACAGTGGTAAACACTCCATATTACGATTAGTTTTACAAGATTTAAATATTTTTATCCTAGCTCAGATCCAGGCTCTTTTTAAACAGATGAATACTATTTTTTCACCCTTTTTCTTTGCAGTAATTTATCATTGACACCTCAGTCTCACCTTTAACACTATGTTTGCCTTTAGGTAGTTTGGTGATGTGGGAGGCTTTCTTCAGTTCATGCCTGTAGAGAAAATAAGAAAGATACATTTCACAAAACCCTCAACTGAAATGATTCTTATGTAACGCCTGACTGTCTGTCACTTACATGTTACCCAGTGCCACTTCAGCCAGCAGCAGGAGACCAACAGGATCAGACTGGGAGGTGTGACAGTAGTTTGCACTCTTGGACACCATATCAGCGAAGTACACACCTTTGCCGAACATGTAACCGGTCTGGACGAAACAAAAAAAAAAGCCACAAAGAGACGTGTAAACTAGAATCGTGTTGATTTGTTATCGTGGTGAAACCTTTTGGTCTCCAGCAAACATCACGTACCACAGGAGCCTCTGGGGGTGCAATACGAAGACCCTGAGACATGATACCAGCGTAGTTGGTGGTGCGAGAGCCGTGCCACAGCAGCTGGCGATTGTGAAGCTCCTCGAACGGACGGAACCGCTGGTGCTCTCCCTCACGAACAATTTTGAAGATCTGCAAAGAGACAAATGGATATATTTTGACGCAGAACAATAAAGTGGGAGCATCACCTCAAAGTGTCACGTCTAAGTTACCTCTTGTACTTCCAGTGTGTAGGTGTTGTGCGTAGCAGCGTGTGTGTTCTTGACGTAGTCCAAAAGTATCTTAGCTTCCTCTGAGGCCTTGTCCACAACCTAAATAAACAAACATACAACTTAATTTGGTTTTTGTCGTCACAATCTTTTAAAGTGTGATAAAAAATATGATCTACAGGTTTGCCGACCTCAATCTTGGTTTTGAGCTTCTCGTAGTTGATGTCGATGGGATCTTTATCGTTGCTCTCAGCTCCGCCTCTGAGCAGACTGTAGGCCACTTCGATATCCAACAGGTTGTCCAACATCTGAACTTTAGCCTGAACAGAAAAGAATGAAGATGTACTTATTGCTATGATCTTGATTTTAAAATCTTGGAAAACAGTATTTTGTCCACATAATATCACCAAATATTCAACTTTACTTGAATGTAGTCCAGAGAGTTGAGCAGCGGTGGTTTCTTCATGCCAAAGTCATGAGGTATCAGGGTGTAGAATCTGTTGGACAGATCCAGGATCTGTGACTCTGGTACACAATCTGACACAGCCTGTGAGCAAAAAGTCATCTTTTAAACATGAACATTTGCAGAAGATTTTATTTCAAGGATTATTGACAGATAGTGAAGTTGATGTGCAATAAAACTTTTTTTTTTTTTAAAAAACTTGTGCTCACTGACCTGCTGTACTTCAGTGAGAAGAGAGTAGGCGCTCTGGATCTGCCTCTTACTCAGCTTTCCAAGAGGCATCTTCTGCAGGTCAATCTGAGAGGAAACAAATAAAGACAAGTCAAGTCAGGACTGTTAGCAGCAGAGTACAAACAAGCTTCTTCCTTGTTTTTAGACAATCCCTTCAAAAATCATCTCACCTCAAACTCCACCATGGCCTTCTTCATGCTCTCCACGTCAAAGATCATCTTGATCAGTTCCTGCACTGGTTTGGCGAGCTTGGACTTGGTGCCAGCTGAGGCAGTCAGCTTCTTCACCGCCTCTTCGTCCTGACCAGAAGATGGGAAGATTCATCAGGGAAGCAGACTAAAAATAAGGTATTACTATTTTCAGTAATTTTTCTTTTTGTTTGTACCTGTCCATAATCGATCTCCAGAGGGTAGAACTTGTTGGGGTATTTGGTGAAGTTGGACGCGCACCACGTGTTGCCCGTCTTCTCCTTGTACACGGTCAGGAAGTTGTCCACGGCCGAATTCTTGTCCTGAAATTTGTCCAGCTTGTTGCCTCCAATGGTGGTGCCCACCCTGCCCCAAGACCTGAACACCCAGTACCTGTACACAGTGGATTATAACAGCAGATGTGTGATGTTAAAAAGTCGGCTCCCGCACACAGTCGTTCTCACCAGCACCTGCGTTACGACAACAGTTACCTTTTCTGCACATCGTCCTCCAGCAGCTGCAGTTTGTAGTAGGAATTAGTTCCTCTGACGATGTCCACCAGCCCCAGGGTGGCGCTGTACATCTTCCCACTCTGCTCCAGGACGTGCGCGCTGTTCTCCAGTCCTACAGAAAAAAACCCAAACACATTAGTTTACCACGAGATATAAACAAAGAGAAGATGTGGTTTATCGTGTGGAGAGTCTATGTGAGAACCTGAATCTGGATCCACAGCAGCTCCTCCTTTAACTGTCAGTTTCATCTTCTTGGCTTTGCTGCCACCTGTCACCATGGAGACGGAAACAGTTGGTTATGAAATTAAAAATTACACTCAGGTGGCCTCTCTCATCACACAAACACATACATACAGAGCCCCCTCCCACACACATCATGAATGTCCCACTAACTCCCACACACATTCTCAGTCAAGGACCATCTGTAAAAAAAACCCCAAAACTAAATAATTAAAAATTAAAATTAAATTACACACCACCAAAGGAAACGTCACCTTGCTCTTCCTTCACCCTCCCTGTGCTCTTGGCCGACAGACCTCCAGACTTGGAGGCCACGGACGGAGCCTGAGCCTCCATCTTGACCTCTGCTCCCCATGGTGAAATGGCATGCAGAGTGACCAGTTCCTGCATAGCCTTCCCTGAGGACTTGACATCTGTGAGGAAATCCTCAGACACCACACGCACTCCAGCATCCTTCACTTCCTCCATTTTCTTACTCATGTTGTCTACCTCTTCTGTGACGCCACCAAAGGACAGAAATGTCAACAACATATTTCCCCCCCCACAGTGTAGACAAACAGGCTTTAAGTTACTGTGAATGAATCCTGCTGCTGAGTCACCACTCACTCTTGGTGCTGAGGCAGAGCGAGGCCTTACTGGCCGTGCCCGTCATCTTTCCACCCAACTCCTCCACGAACGTTTTCAAATCATCCTTGTTCTTTTTCAGTTTGCCCACAGAGATGAGTTTCATACCAGTCAATGGTTTATCTACAGGAATTACAAAACATAACAGAGATTATTGGTTGATGAATCTCAGAGCAGCACTATTGAGTTGTACATCACAGTAGTACAGTGGTTGAGTACGAGTGACTACGAATCCTCACACAGACCGAAGTGATTTCTCTCCTCACCTGAAGGAACTCCCTCTAGTGGAAGCTCTGTCGGAGCACTGGACACACTGGCCAGAGGTTTAGCTACAGCTGCTGGCACCATCTGAGTGGGAGTTTCCTTGGGGTAAAGCCTGTCCTGGCGCTTGAATTTGAACTTTTTAAGGAAAGACACCTCACTGAATTCCTGCAAACAGAACCAACAAGTAGCAGGAGATGATTTTCTTCATTCTAAGTTACTTTAAACGACTTCAATCAGCAGCTCTGTACGAAAACAGTGACCTACCTTTGGGACAACCCAGTCTTTGCGTGCAGGCGTGGTGGTCTTGAACACACACTTAGTCCAGGCTGAAATGTCTCCTGTACAATAGTAGGCGTCCCCTTTGTAGACCAGCTGACCCTGACACTCTTTACAGGGCTCCAGAGCCCCGAAGGCCATACCGTCAGACAGAGTGTCGATCACCTGTTGATGACAAAATCACATCCACTCTGCTCTCAATGTGTTTGTGACACTGACAACAGAATTAAATTCATATTATGGCTGTTTCAGACTTTTTAAGGGACTTCTACTATGAATCTGACATTTGGAAAATGACAAAAACAAACTTTAACAACAGGATCTTTTTTTAAAGTTTTTTTAACCCCTTTTTCTTGTCCACACAAGTTTGCTTTTCTTCTTTCGTTTTTTTTTCCTGGTCGTTTCTTTATGTCTCCCTGTACAACCTTAAGTTGCCTTTAGTGCTAAAAACATGTTACAATCAGGAAACACTGAAGTTACAAACTGCAGAGGCAACAGAAATAACCAAAAACATCCATCTCTTACATTGGACTCGCCAGAAGGAACTTCCTGTTTGTTGGCAATCAACAGCTCCTTCATGTCGTTCACTGAACAGTATTTCTTCAGCTTGTCCTTGATCCCCCATATCAACTGACTCTGGACCTGTGGGTGCACATCAACACGTCATGTAGATGAAGTCTATGTGATGTATATGACTGTAGTCGGACATCAGTCCCAAATGAATAGATAAAAAGACAAACCTTTAACTGTTCGTCCAGCTTTTGCTTCTCCTCCTCTTCCTCCTTCTTCTGTTTCTTTGACACTCCATCCACCTCATCGGATTTACGTTTGCTGCACGAACAACACAAGAACAACAATAATAGAAAAAGTTTCCCTTCAACAACTATGGGACCAGTGATAATCAAAACATTTCCAACCGACTTCCTGAATCAGACACAAACAAGCCTTAATGTGACACCTGCGCTCATTAAACACAATCATTAGGGCTCCATCAGTCAAAGGACACACACAGGTACAGGTCGGTACAGGTCGGTACAGGTCTCCTCTGTCCCAGAGGTCACTGCTGATATCACCGACTGTCCTCCGGGATGAAAATATCGTTAGCACCAATCGACTAATCACACAGCAAAGATGTCATTAGAATTAATGACCACACGGGGGGTGAGGGCCAGACAGGTCTGACCTGATGGGTGAGGTCACGGGGGAGGAAGTGATTTCTATTAAAGGGTAGAGTCTTGAAGACAGATGTTCACAGAGACCTGAGGACCTTGAAGCAGCATCACTGTGAACCATGTGACTGTTGACTGGTGAGTTCTTCATCATCATTTTGACTCTAATCTTCATGTCTCTGCAGGACAACGATGGACAACAGTGGAACACTTCACATTTTTCAACTGTCGAGAAACTCCTTTTCTCCCTCTTCAACCAGCCCACTTTTCCAGAACACTTCAACAGAGTCTCCTTCAGCGTCGCCTGTTGACGTGGTCATCTCTCCCAATGTCGCCTACATGGTGGCTGAGCTCATCATTGCCTTCCTGTCCACGGTGGGTAATTTAATGGTGTGCGCCGCCGTGGGACTCAACCGCAAACTCCGCACTGTCACCAACTACTTCCTGGTCTCGCTGGCAGTGGCTGACATCTGTGTGGGCACAGTAGCCATTCCCTGCGCCATCCTGACAGATGTGGGTCTGCCGCGTCACAGGTTCTACCTGTGTCTGCTGATGCTGAGCGTCCTGATCATGTTCACCCAGAGCTCCATCTTCAGCCTGCTGGCAGTCGCCGTGGAGCGCTACGTGGCCATCTTCATGCCCTTCCGGTACCAGGTGCTGATGACGCCTCGCAACGCCACACTGGTGATCGTGGCGACGTGGCTGCTGGCCTTTCTCATCGGCCTCGTGCCTCTGATGGGCTGGCACAAGAAACAGCCGGACTCGGGCCACTGCTTCTTTGTCCTGGTGGTGGACATGACCTACATGGTCTATTTCAACTTCTTTGCCTGCGTCCTGACTCCGCTGGTGATCATGTTCCTCATCTACGCCCGAATCTTCATCATGGTCAAGCAGCAGGTGAGACGCATTGCTGCAGAGCAAAGCGGCCACGGTGACGCTCAGGCCAGGGCCGCAGCCAGTATACGCCGAGAGATGAAAACGGCCACCACGCTTTTCCTGGTCCTTTTCCTCTTCACAGTCTGCTGGATCCCGCTCCATGTCATCAACTGCTTCCTGCTGCTCTGTCCTCGGTGCTCTGTACCATTCGAACTGCTGCTCACCGCCATCATCCTGTCACACGCCAACTCTGCCGTCAACCCTTTCCTGTACGCCTACACGATGACGGCGTTCAGAGACACTTTCAGAGCCATTTTCATGTGCTGCCGATCAGCAGGGGGCAGCGGTGCTTCAAATATGGTCAGTGGTGAATGTTGCACATGTGAAACTATAACTATGACAATATTTAAATCCTGCCTTGTTCTCTCTGTCTTACCCCTCTGATTTCACAGCTGGAAGCCTCTTCTTGAGCTCCTCCTTGTCTTCAGCCCGTAGCGTGACAAAACCCTTGAGCTGGGCAGCACTGTACTCGGGTTTGAAGACCAGCTCCTCCCTGCTGCTCACGAAACACGCCGTGTGGTACCAGCGGTCGATCAGACCCAGCTGAGGCTTCTCTGGGTCAACGGCCTTCTTCGAGATACGGATTTGATCCTGGAATGAACAAATTATAGCTAATTGAAAAATTAAGGTTTTTGAACCCTCACCTAACGTATATAGACCACATCCCATATTTTATTAAACTTCCTTTACGCAACACTGTCTTCAATTGATACATGTATTTTTTTACTTACATGTTTAAAGATTTATTTCGGAGATGTTAAACGTTGCTCACCTTTTCTATTTTCTGTAGGCAGCCTTTGCATGTGCTGCGGTTCGACTTGGCATACTCCACCGAAAAGTCGTTCAGCGTCTTCTCACCTTTTGCTCCGCCTTTCTGGTCGCCTTTTCCAACTAACAAAGATAATATAACACATTTTGAAACAACAGGAAATCATTCAGTGGCTTCCAAACGTGACAAACGGCACATGTATAAACTGCATCTCTGTACACGAACCTCCCACAGCTCCACCGCTGTCTATGGCCTTTTTCACCTTGTCCTGGTCTGCCCAGCGGAGGTCAGCGAAACCAGCGATGTCGGCGACAGAGTGGACCGCTGCACGCTGCCAGAAGCAGGAGAAGTGGTGCCAATGAGGGACCTTCCCGTCATACATGGGCGACTGGGGGACAAAATGAACCAGAAACGAAGAAGGTTTACAACAAATCCAATGAGAGGAAAAAATGAGAGGAAAAAATGACATGAAATAATCATTCAAATATTAACATTTTAATTTTATGTTTTAAATTTTGGGGACAAAATGAACCAGAAACGAAGAATGTTTACAACAAATCCAATGATGGTAAGACAGAAACATTAGAGGAAAAAATGACGTGAAATAATCATTAAAATATTAACATTTTAATTTTATGTTGTGAGTTTGACAATCCTGCTGCAGTTAGTGAACTTTGTTTACTAGTTACTGTAAATGGTGTTTAAAGTTGCAGAACTCTGATTCATATAGTCTCATCGACTTATTTATTCAACAAAATATGTATTTGTTTCAAATGTGTCTGTTGATGTTCTTTGAATACATGAACATCGTGTTTGTTTTTATACACTTATATTGGACTGCATTAATAATAATAATAATAACCAGTAACGACTCTTCTAAGTATTCATGTGTACATACTGGGAATAAATATTTTGACCACCCAGAGTGTCTCATTTGAACCAATGTGACGTAGACACATTACATGAAAACTCCCACATATAAACAAAGAGTGTGGCTCTTTGTGGACACATCTCTGCAGACAATGTCAGCCATTTAAATGCTAACGAGGGCCTAACGTCCTGCAGCGACACCTCTGTATTAAAATGACATACTTTATTTTTGCAAATGCCTCGGTCTAAGTCTGAAGTACATCTGTCACTTAGTTTTTCTTTGCATGGCAGTGTGGCAGTTTGCAGCCACTGCGTGCGTCTGTTACCTGCACCATGATGGCCATCCTCAGGGAGTCTTTAGCTATGTTGTCTTTGCACTTCTTGCACGAAGCGCGGCCACTTTTGGCGTATTCTGCCCGGTACAACTTGTCGGCGTCAGTGTCCGCCATGATTCTCCGGTGATGGAAAAGGACTGCGTGAATCCGTGAGTGGCTATGACGCTGTTATTAGTTTCTGCAGCAGTAGTTACAGCCACAGAAATCAATGCCCGGCCTGAGATCACAGAGGCGAAGCCCGCGTGTGCCTGCGCCCACACTGCAGCGGCCAACGTGGCGAGAGGTCTCACTCTGTCTGGGTTTTTTTTTTCAAACGTCTTTGAATCATCTCAACTACAACGCTGATGAGAGACTTTCGAGTCATATTTGTTACATTGCTGCCACTTGCCGGCAAATATTTACACCGAGGCAACATAAAAACAAAGGTTCATCTCTTTGTTTTTATGTTGGCGTTGCAGGAGGATTGCAGGAGGGGAAAGGCGAAGAATGCCAACTGTGGTAGAAATTGAAAAAAAAGAAACCCTTTTTTGCATTCATGGAGAAAGGGGAGAATAAACAATGACTTGTTTTTTTTAGATAAAGGAACTGCTAATGGTTTCAAATGCTTTTTTGTGATTTGTTGAAAACAAATACCCTTCTGGCATTTTTTTTCTTAGTCACTCAATTAGCCACTTATGTAATTAGACATGAGTGATTGTTTTGCAAATACTATATATTAGCTATATATTTATCTTTAGACAATTTAATACATAAAATTGAAAACACGCAAGCAGTTTGTCGCCCTAGTGAGGCATCATGTCTCAACGACGATCGCGGAAACGGCCCCAGAAATCCCGCGCTCCTTGTAGTCATAACTAATCGAGTCAAGAAAAATCGTATGACGATTATTCTTCTTGCTTTTATTTGTAAAAATTAAATGTTATTCTGTACAAATAAAGATACCTCGGAAAAGACTGCATTTTAAGAATGTGATATTCAAATAAAAGATACATTCGACATGTATAACCACCTTATTTTTTTTAAACAAGTTTAAAGCATTGAATACAACATCTTTGGTATTAACATCATGAATTGACATTTCCACCCTTAAGGGTTTAATGGTTTAACAGTAATAATGATACGACAACACAAATCACTGCTTAACTTGAAAAAGAGATATTAATTTAGAACACACGGCATGCAACAATGTTGGCAATAACAGAAAAGAAAATAGTTTAATTTGATTTACAGATTGATACATATTTTGTTTAATGTATTAAACTATTTGTGTTGTTTCTAATAAATTTTATTTTTTGGAATTCAGTTGTGTGGAGAAATAATGTGAGAGGAAATATACATGTAAAAAATTCACCAAAAGTGTAACATTTGACTCATTTTATTTATTTTTGATAATTATTTAGTGACAAAATGTGGTGGTCCTTGATTAAGTGGTGAGAGAGTTCGTCTTCTAAGTGAAGGATCGAACTTTATCTCTTGTACATTGCTGAAAATGAACAAAACAAGCTGTTTTTAATTTTTAAAAATATTAATTTTAATTTTTGCTCATTATTGCCATCTGCTGACTAAAACGAGCACAACGACTGCGTTTGACAATCGCCATGACAGATATAAACGAAGTCAATTATTAATGAATAATCACGTTACCTTTTTCAATCAGTATTATTATTATTTAGCGTTGTTTTATTTTTTTAAAATTCGTTTTTCTTCTATCGATAGGTCTCTATTTTTGTCATATTCCACAAGGGCAGTTTAGCGGAAGGACACATTTTATGAGAAAATTTTATCAAGAAATGCGGTCGGTTGTTCGGTTTAGCTCCGCCAACAACAAGTTCCGGTCAAGTTGTTTGCCCTCTAGTGGCTCAAATGTGCAACTTCACTCTTCAACAAGTTCCCGCCAAAAGGTTGATGAGTGCAATTACTCCTCTTTGTCAGCAGAGGGTCTGACGTGCAGTCAACCTGGCCGGACCTTGTTGTTGGCGGAGCTAAACCGAACAACCGACCGCATTTCTTGATAAAATTTTCTCATAAAATGTGTCCTTCCGCTAAACTGCCCTTGTGGAATATGACTAAAATAGAGACCTATCGATAGAAGAAAAACGAATTTTAAAAAAATAAAACAACGCTAAATAATAATAATACTGATTGAAAAAGGTAACGTGATTAACCATTAATCATTTGCTGCGTTATATCTGTCATGACGATTGCCAAACGCAGTCGGTTGTGCTCATGTTCACCAGAAGATGGCAATATTGAACATAAAATAAAATAAAACAAATTTTAACAGCTAATAACAGCTTATTTGGTTAAATTTCAGCAATGTACAAGTAATAAACTGCAATCCTTCACTTAGAGGACGAACTCTTTCACCACTAAATCAAGGACCAGTACATTTTGTCACTAAATAATTATCAAAAATAAATAAAATGAGTAAAACGTGAAACTTTTGATGATTTTATACATACGTGTGTGTGTGGAAAGTATAAAATCCCCAAAAGTCATAAATATAAAAAACCCATATATATATGCCCCCTAAAGGGCAAAAAGGAGTAATAGTGGACCTTGATTCCCTGGATAACCTTTATGGACTGTCACACCACCAAATAATAAAATTATTAATAATGTTTGTATTAAAACATTTAAAGGTAATGCTTTAATACAAAAGGTGATATGTGGACAGTAAATATTGTAAATGTACAAGATGATTAAGTTTGTTGCAAATGAGCTGTGAAAAATAAACGTGACAAAACACACACAAGTAGCTCTCTGTCATTTTTATTTTGTAAAAGTATCTCTTAGAGAAAAATAGTTGGAGACCCTTTATGTACAGACTTCTGAGGTGGTTGTTTTGAGGTAGTGTGTTTTGTCCTAGAGGTGTGATGTTTTATTTAAAAGAAAACAAAATGTTGGCTTTTGTTGCATGTGTATAAAATTACCTTCAAAGTCAGAATGAGTTCCTATGTGAAATACTGTTCCTTAAAAGATAAAAAACCCAACAAACATTAAAGGTCACAGTCACAGTTAAAACAGAGTCTTGTGATTATTTTGTGCAGCAAATTGTCTTATGGCAAAGCATGAGATGAGGACAACATTTGTGTAGGAGAAGAAACAATGTGGCTGGATCGTGTCCTCCTCTGCTGCCCAGTCCTCTGACGCAGAGGGTCTTGTCAGCACTGCAGGGAGCACGGAGACAGGCTGAAGCCGCCGTTAGTTTCCCTGATCTTCTCCTTGTTTCTGGCCTGGACCAGACCGAACACCACTTCTGCCAGTGTCATCCTCCCTCCTGTCCGCCCCCCTGTGCGTCCGTATGTGGCTGTCTTATTGCGAACTGTGCTGATGAAGTAGGTGCGGACCTTCCCCTGGCGCTCACTCACCTACAACAACAACAACAACAACAATAAAAACAACAAGAATCACGGGAGTCAGGATTCGTTTTTATTAGACCTGTATTATCTCTTTTCACCAGTAGATGTCTCTCTTGTTTCATTTCCCCCCTTTGCCTAGAATACTACACTACTTACTGTGAATCACTCATTGTATTTGTACTTGTTCTGATGAGTGATTGTCCTTACATGTGAAGACATATGTCTCTATTTGTCCACTTTTGGTCAGAAACACAAGTGTCTGATGTTTTAGAGATTCTCTGTGTCTGATCTGGCAGAGCCATAAATATCTAGAGAAGACAGGCAACAGACAAGAGGGAAAAAAATCCTCAACTGACTCTAAATTGAACTGAGACGTGTTGAGGACCATGTGGGACTAATGTGCACACAACAACGTGTCAGTGATTAGTTAAGTCAAGGGCTTGGAGTGTGAAAAATGGACATGAAAATCCCATTCACAAGATAACAAAATAACAGCCAGCTGTGAATTGATATTGGACACACACTCTCCCCTCTGTCATCGAGTGTCGTCACTCCCAGGTGTGAAGCTGCTCTGTGGGGTTCAGATTACTGTCCTTATGGAGAATAAAAGAAAAGAGACCAAACCTATGTATGAGAAAGCTGACTGTCTACATTTTTATTTTAAATGTAGGTGAGTAAGAGACGGTTAAACCCAGGGTTCATTACCCAAACCTCAATCTTTCCTCCACTCACCCCCTTGACAAATATTTCTCCACGCAGCTCCAGAACAAAGCCCCAGTCTGTCAGGATCCTGCGTGTGGCCTCAGGGACCTGGATGCGTCCACTAACACCTGTGCTGTCCATACGGCTGGCCAAGTTCACCGTTGACCCCCAGATGTCGTACTGTGGCTTGGTGGCACCGATCACACCTGCCACAACGGGCCCATGGGCGATGCCTTTTTTCCAAAACAACAAAGAAATCACTTCATTTGTCAACCTATAAATGCACAGGAGGGGGAGCTGGAGAGAGGAAGATACTGGGATTTTGATTATGAGTGACCATGATGGAAAGGATTAGAAATGATCACAACAGAGGTACAGCTAATGCTTAGCTTAGTTTGGAGATAAAGCTAGAGGCCAGGCGTTGCGTGGACAAGGGTTGATGGGAGAAATACGACGAAGCAGCCCAGCGTGGCGAAGACAACTTGAAGTTAAATCACTTCTGTCATGTCATCACTATAACATTTTAATGGTTATTGGTTGGTTATCCCAAAATCAAAGAAGAAGTTGAAGACAGAATGAAACTTTTGAGTTCCCTTCACACATCAGGCAGCGTGACTGACTTCCTGTTTTTAAAGCTTCTCTTAACACATATTTGTTCTCACCGGCTTTTCCGACTTCCTATTGATTCGTCTTGACCTTTTTTTGACTTTCAGTGATGTTTCCATCACTGAAAGTCCGTATGTGTATCTGTTCCACTCTGATAAAGTGTTGTTTGTGTCGTTCTTTCACTGACCCACGCGCAGCTGAAAGTTTTTGGCCGAGTCCCTGTTGATCTCCTTCAAAGTCTCCTGCATGGCCAGAGCGAACAGTACCAGTTCACTCAGGTGATTCCAGTCATTCATGTATGCCTGACACACACAGAGGCAGGCAGTCAGGCAGAGAGAGAAAGAAAAAGAAGAGGAAAAAGGAGTTCATCTGAAGCTGCTGCCAATGAAGGCTTTACTGATGCAGCCAAAACAAAACAATGCAGTATGAGCATGAGATAATCTCCCACCTGTTTGTCTGGAACCAGGCCAGAGGCTGCCATGTAGCAGCTCCCGATGGTCTTAATCTTCTCCACGTCGTGAAAGTATGACTCCTCCAGGAGCTTGGAGGCAGAAAAAAGAACTTAGGCGTAAATATTAGTGAAAGAAAAAAAAAAAACAGAAAACCACAAAACTCCAATCTCACTCTGATAGCTTTAAGCTCAAAGACATTTATAACAGCCAGCCTGACATTTAATAACAGAGCCAGAGTTTTATATTTATGAGCCTCAGTGCAGTAATAACAATAACACATTTAAATGTGTATTTTTATGAGGGGTATCCATACATCTACTTCTTGGACTTTCACTGTAGTTTTTATAACACATTTAAATGTGTATTTTTATGGGGGGTATCCATACATGTCACACGTGTCACACCTCATCAAAGCCAGCGATGATCTCATTCAGCAGTCGGAGGCAGTCCACTCCTTCATGTTTGATCTCCTTCTGCTCGAAATACTCGTTGAACCCATCGATGGAAGCGAACATGACACCCACTTCATCATAGGACTGCGAGTAGAGCTCCTGCAATGTGTCGGGCCACGTTATCTCGACAGGTGAGTTCACAGACGTGTGCTGATGTTAAAGTGCCTGATGGTTAACAGACACGCTCAAGTGTTGGCGATACCTCGTCATTCTTGCTCCGGTCCAGGAAGTGTCGGGCAACGTGCATGGGCAAGATGTTGTGCAGCAAACACTCGTTGTGCTCCCGCAACTCCCTCATGTCTTCCACTTCCTGTTGGGCCTGGAGACGCCACAGGAAGTCCAACCTGGCTGTGGCTTCCCACTGGAGGACAAAGGACAAAGAATTATTAAGTTAGAGTTGAAGAACATTCCATGAGCAGAAGCTCCACCTCACTATTCTGACTGATGTACCTGCCGTCCATTGTAGTAGACGGCTACAATGAACATGACCATGAGAAGAATCGCGATGCCATTTCTTCTGACATAATGAGACCTGGGTCAAACACGCACAAAGAGTAGATAAAGATTATTCACAGTTTCACAGCTGACCAGCAGAACTGAGTGGACGTCACGTGTTCAGGACTGACCGGTGCTGCACATCGTGGCTTGACAGTGTGAGGAAGGCCAGTTGGATCAGGTAGGAATACACGGCTACAGCCAGCAGCAGGACTGTCAGCTTCAACAGCGAATTCAGACGAAGGAACACAGCACAGGTTACCATGGCGATCACACCACTCAGTACAAACACCTGGACGGAAGAATGATGATCGCGTTTAGTTAAAAACATCAAATGTCTGTTTGAGAGTGAATATTTGTTTTGATCCATAAGAATCAACAATCCTACATACGACCTGTTCTCACCTCAGGGTATGTGCAAACAGTAAGAGGATGTGCGGCTGTGTTGCTTTTGTCCACCATCTCTCCAGTGTTACTGACCAGGCACCACACCTGCATCCACACACACACACACACAACACTTGGTATTTTACAAAAACATCACACAACACATGTCTGATTAGGACATTCTATTTACTTCAACAATGAAGCCAGTTCTCTGACCTGACACAGAAAAGAGGAGGATGTGGCACATCACGCAACATAAATAGATGAAACATAGACTTGTCTGGTTTCTCAGTAGAAACTGGTCATAAAATCTGATAAAATATATGTCAGGTCACAAGTGCAGACACTCCACAATATGCTTATTGGACAAAGTGATTAACAGTCACAAACATCCACATGATTTAAAAAAAACCCTGAGTCTTCCCTTTTATATTAATTGGGGCAAAACATCTTGAAAAACTGTGCTGCTCAGTCCCTCACCATGTCAGTGGACGTCAAACCAAAGTTGATGATGATGGCAGCGAGTGTGAGAACGTTGCGGGCCCTGTTGTTTTCGTGGATCCAGCAGCAGAGGTGCTGCAGTGCAGCTGGAGTCCACTTGAACTCCTCGGCCAGCGTGAGCAGCATCAGCAGCATGTAGGTGAGGAGAAAGACAGAAAGCTGGAGGACGGCAGGGAACAACCTCCTGAGGGAGAAAGAAGAAAAGAAGGGAGTAAAAATGTGACCGAATCACCTGACGTCCTATGTTGTTGGGTTCTCAACTTGTTTTTGTTGACGCTGTTGGGTTTACAAGGAACAGAATGTCATAAGTAAATACTCATAAAGTAATAACGTCATTTATCAGATGATGAAAAAAACTTTCAGGTCCAAATCAGTGGTGGAGTCAGACAGATTTCACTGCCCGCAAAACCGGAATGTTTAGACCAAGAAACTATTATTTTAATAATTTATGCATTTATCCAAATGTGATTTGGGTGGCGACTGCTGCCCCCGCGACCCGGTAACGGATAAGCGGATGAAAATGGATGGATGGATGGATGGATGGATGCATTTATCCGAGACATGGTGAATACAACTTTATTTACACCCTAAGGAATGTTGTGTTTTTTTCAACTTTATCTTATTTGACAAACTGCTGTACATGCTGTACAGAGACAAAGTTAAAATCAGATCAATAGTGTCTACGCCCTTGAAAGTATACATTTTTGTTTCTTTGCCTCATCTTTTTACCTCTTTTTAATCACATCAGCAAAAGATTCAGCACAATGTCAACATAAAACATTATTTTGCTTTTTGTGTGACTCAATTTCTCCCACCTTGGAGCAGGGATTAGGGCCTGTGCAGCTATAAGGAAGAGGAGCATGGTGAAGGAGCAGACCAAATTTGAGTTGAACATTTCATCTCTCATCTGGGAAAACTAGAGAAACAAACAAACAAAAATCAGAAATGTAAAAAGAAGGATCATGACAATGATTCTTCTTTCGACTCTTCTCACCTTGTCTTCTATGTGTGTGTCCTTAAACACGAGTGTCAGTGGAGTAATGTGCTCCTTGCGCATACGCTCACTGCTTCGGACCACGATGGCGTGTTTGATGCGTTTGTTGATCTCTTTAGAAGTGGACTGGCATACGTTGGGTAGAGAGCCGTTTGTGAAGGAGGCCAAGATCTATGGTACACACAAACATTATAATTAGTGTGTGATCACACATGGGGCCTTGTTAATCAGAGCCATCTCTGCACTTACACTGTTCATATCAACTACATTCTTGAAAGGAAACTCTGGGTGCCATGAGTGACTGGTCTTCTGGACCCTGGGGTGCTCTGTGTGGTCAACGTTGCCCCGTTCCTCCTGAGGGCAGATGAGATAAGTGTCTATGTTGTGCTTCCTCAAAAACTCATTCCTGTCCCGGCCGTGTCCGTCCTCTGTCTTGAAGATGCCGTTTAAGCAGTCCAGAGTGGCCCGGGAGATGTGGATACGACTGTGTGATCGGGAACAAATGTTTTTTAAGACGGAAGTTCCACATAAATCTAACAAACGACAATGAAATTCCCTGAGATGTTTACCCTGGTATTCCTCCTGCCTCCAGCATGTTGGCGATGCCCACATCCCAGGACCAGACGTCAAACTGCCATTTCTGCAGCCCCAGCACCCCACACAGGACAGATCCAGAGTGGATGCCAATCCTCATGTCCATGTCAAAGTTTAACTGCTTCCTCACATACCTTGACGTTGAGGAGTAAAATCGAAAAAATGTTAGTGTTGGTGATGGATCATCATTCATCATCTTCAGTGGTGAACTTTAGCCCAGTTAATTGTCTGACCTAATGGTGCTAATCATAGCCAGCCCCATCTCCACACAGTAACGGGCGTGGGCCTGTTGCGGCTCAGGGACACCAGAGACACAGTAGTAACAGTCTCCCAGTATCTTTATCCTCAGGCAGTGGTGTTCCTGTGGAAGTGCAAGAGGGAAATGTCACGCGTCATACAGAATTGATTTTTTCTGTAGTCTCTGTAGTGTTCAGGGTTTTACCTCTGCCAGGTGGTCAAAGCGTCCAAAGAGTTCATTGAGGGTTCGGACCAAGTCCTGCGCAGACAGGTTCATTGACAAGAGGGTGAAGCCCTTGATATCTGCAAAAAGAATGCTGCAAACAAGAGAGAGATTACTGTGTCAAAAAGACTGAAATCACTGTAGATCCTTCTGACAAACTCTCTACTTAATGCACTGTTACAATTCTCAACGTCTGCAGGCTTACCTGACGTTTCTGTACTGGTGGATATAGATCTTGTGCAACTCCTGGGAACTGAGTTCATCCTCCAAGGAGCTCATGTCAGAAATCATCTCCAAGGCAACAAAGCGAGGCAGGATTGACAGCACCAGACGCTCCTGTGTGTCGACATAATAATCCACCAGAGTCGGTGAGTTGCTTTTATCAGCTTTTATCTTTATATAGACATGTCATGTTTTATAATCCTTTGTCGTAATAACAGTTTAGGATAATCCAAGATGCAGAATAAATAAATGTTTCATATGTGACTAAAAGCAGAACTTTGGTTCTCACACAACCTGTCTCTGGTTCTCTTGCTCCAGTTTGAGGCGACCCTCGATGCAGCGCCGTGTCTCCAAGAATACTTGCCTCTGGGCGTGGTCAGTCAAGTAGTGGATGAACAAGCCAGCTGTGTTCATACCCAGGTACAGCAGGCCTTTGGCAAAAACCTAAATCCACAAGAAATTTGTTTGGTTGTTGAATTTGTTTCTCTTAGAGAAGGGAACACCATGAAGTAACTAACTGAGAAATCATACTATCATACATTTTATTGATAAATCAGGTCAAAGTATATTAATATAATTAATAAATGTCTAGGTAGCCTTCTGTAGCACAGAGAGCACATGTTATCCATTTATAACACATGGTAATGTTCTCACCTTTCTGGTGATCGATGCATCATTGTAGTTGCGCACCATCTCCACCAGAAGGTGCAGTACTGAGGTAAGGGAGCCTGCACACATGGCCCACAGCAGAGGTAAGGGCAGCAACGTGTATGTGGCAAACAATGTGAACAAAACATACCAGGACGGGTCTTTTTCTAGTCCATACACCAGACCCCCTAGCACCTGGGTGGTCTGTGACAGCCAACTGGCCAGACCAGCGTACTGCAGCCACCGTGGGGACAGAGAATCTTTGTAGGTCAACACCACGATGCACAGTGCTACAGCAAAGATCATGAAGATCCCCGTCAGGCAGCCACGCACAGTGTCAATGAGAGGTTCGGGGGCCAGTGCCAGGTACAGAACCAACACATGCAGTTTGGCCACAGCGTCCAGGACATTGGTGATCGCTAAAGAGGTGCGTCTTTGGTGAGAGGAGTGCTGCTGGTACAGTTTCTCCATGTCACGTGACTTGAAGGTGTGCCTCAGGGAGGGTATGTAGATGCCACGGACAGTGTGACCCCAGTGCACAAAGAAGTCGGCATCACTGGTGAAGTCATTAAACAAACCTCCCACGCTGCTCTGTGTGCAGGTGGAACCACGAGGATGGACTCTACTCATGGTAGAAGAGCGGCGTTTGGTGACGCCACGGGAGCCCTTGTTGAATATTTGCTTGTTGATCTCAGCTATGTAGGCATCGGTCACAAAGATCTTCCGAGCTGGTTCCAGACCAACCTGTGTTGTCAGAGACAACCAGACACAAGTTCACAATAAACCTAAAAACTGAAAACACTAAAAAAAAAATACTCCATACTTAGCAGTTAGCATGTAATTATGACCAAAAAGCATTTGTCGATCTGTCTGAGCGTCTGGGCAGCAGTGGGTTTATAATACATGGTTGCAGACATTTCTAGAGAACAAAATAATGACAATGCTACAAATGTGCGTATAAGTGTGGATTAATGGATCACCTGGGCTTTGAGCTCCTGCTGGTTGATGATGTGTTTAACAGCATTCTGCCAAAGCATCTTTTTCCGCCTTAGCCCCGGTGACAAGGGCGCAATTATGCTGGGTGGCTCACACAGACCCATGGGGCTGACATTTGACGTTTCTGCAAAGGTCACCATGGTGATGACCTTAGCTGTTGGTCACAGATCAGGAGGAGGATGGAGTCTGGAGTTGGGGGAGTGTTGACGGATGTGGGGAAAAAAGAGGACAGAAAAGACTGATTCGCAAGAACATAGCATTTAACATCATTTAAATCGTCATGTATATTTTTGTTCAATAATTAAAAATAAAAATGTAAATGTGCATATTTGGTTTCAAGCTTCAACAACTGAGAACATTTTTAACGCCCTGCTCCTCGACAGAGCTACAGTTGTGCAAAGACGTGACGTGCTGGATGTCACGTGTCAACATGGCACGAGCCGGGACAGGCAGGTTTCCAACAAATGATCTTAGGGCCAGATTTAGACCTGAGCTCTTTAATGCTCTGAGTGTAACTCCAGCAAGTTCTAATGGATTGCTACTTTGCGTTACTGTTGCTTTCTCACTGACCAGGTTCACTCTTGATATCATGTTTACACTCTAAATATAACTCACACAGCTGATACTCAAAAATGTCATTCATAAATAAGGGTTTTATTGTTGCTACTTCGACATATCATTTTAGTCTGTGAATCTATGGCAACTATTTTCCTGACGCTACTGCTTAAAGATCATCCTGATTATAACCAAATTACAAAAGTACGCAGTTTTACAAAAGTGGAGATCAGTATCAGTATCTCAGTATCTTAAATGCAATGTTTGAATTTATTGAGTGCAAAATGTCTGATTTATTAGACCAAAGACGCTGTAGATACAAAACTCACCTGTCTTCTTTTGCATATTGTAAATCCACTGCTCACATCCAGTTTCTGTTCCAGGGTATTTTCAGCCATTTTGATCATAATCCATTCCTTCTGATTCCATCCTAAAGAAAGTGCAAACATGTCTCACATTATGATGCATCATCCATAAACAGGAAACCAAGCGTCATGTAGTTTCTATTAAATCCAAAGCAAATAGGAGAGGGAGGTGGACGTCCAACTACGAGGTGTGGATTGTTCCTGGTGGGGTTGAAGGTCACCACCTGTTTAGAATCTGACAGTTTAGAAATGAAGTCAACAAATGCCTAAAAGCAGAGCTACATGAGTGAGGAGTGCAAAGAGGATTAGCTAGTCAGCAGCTCCTCTCACCGGCCCGCTTAGGTCACTAAACCCACATCAGTATAACTATTAAAGCAGTTCTTGTACAGTTTGTCAAAGGTGGCCCAACCTCTTAGCAGCAAGGCTAACAATTACTTTAAAAATTAGATAGAGTTCAGATTGGACTAGAGATGTTATTCTCTCAAACTAATAAAATAATTGAATTACATTCCCCTATAATATCCTTTCTGTCTACTCTTTAAGTTGTTGGAATCACTAAGATGATTCATCATTCATCATTCAGCCTTTACCTCCTCTGCTGTGACGTGAACCATCTCGTGTCAGTCATTACAACATCTTGATGAATCTCTGGGGTCTGGAGTAGCTCCACCTCTGAAACCATCATCCAATAATCTGACTTTTCTCCCTACAGCACATGTCCAAACCATCAAACCCCTGACCCTCGATAGCCTAATTTTTCATGCTTCTCAAAGTTGTTACTCTGATCATTATATTCATAAAGACAATTAAAAAATATGCCTTTTCTCCTTTTCTCTCAAACACTGACAAAATCCTTTGTCCAAACTGGATAAGGTTTCACTGAATACTTAATACAATGACCTAAAGTAATAAAATAACAAAATGACAGTTACTGTATCTTGTCAAAGGAAAAGGATGAGGTCCGATTAAGAAGCATTCAAAATGTTGCGTGAACCTCACATGGAGTAAAGTGGACCTTTAAATTGAGATATTCCAGGACAGCAGGATCGTGGTCCTTGGTGTATAAGCTGGTTAAAGTTTTTGAGACTTGTTTTTCTAATTGCGTCCAGGCAGTGCTCAAAGCCCCTAAGGCTGACCTAATGAGTTCCCATCTGTCCAACCATGATGCTGTACCTCAGACCTTTCCCGCTGATTACGGTACATCTAAAAATATCCCAACAGTCCTAAGGCAATTAGTTTTACCATAACAGTCACCACGTCAGCAGGTCCACTGACACTTCGCACAGCACACGAAATAACGCTCTCTTCAATATGTTTAACTAGCTCTGACTGATGCTGTGACGCCTCGAAGCTTGTGTCCAACAAGAGCAGCACATAGGATGGTATAGTTTCTATAAGGAGGCGGGTTTAGGAGAATACAAGTCACATGGTCTGGTACATGTTTGGCTAGCAGGCCAATTTACTTTCTGACTGGCCAGCAACAGTTGACCCCACCACCTAAGAGGCTGAATTTAGCTAATGAAAGTCACAGAGGTGTATTTAAGGCTGTCTCTGTGTGTAACCTTTTGTGTTCTTTACCTTAAACTGGGCAATACAAGCATGATATAACTTCTTTACCCCAAAAATTTAATTAATTATTAAATAATAATAATTTAGTTCTGATTGAATTGTACAAATGCCAGTTTTTTTTATTTGTCCTGTTGGGAGCAGCTGCATGTATAATCTAAATGAGTCTAAATCTATGACAGTCATAGAGTTATTAACCCTCATCATTTACTGTTTCTTCATTTTTACTGAGGTCATATTTTAATGAAGCTGGTTGTTTTTACATGTGTTATGTCAAATTCTGTGTTCTTCACTGTGCAGTAGTTTTTTATTGGGTTACATGTTTTTCTCAGTCTCAACTTTCTATCCCAACAAAAGTCAGCATTGGGTTTAAAATATAAAACATGTAGCTCCCACATTAGCCAATGCAAGCCACAGTACTGTACAGCTGCTCTCCTTTGATGTGACACTGCCTTTTTCTTTTTGTCGCATTATCATAATGAATATTTCAGATTAAATATATTTTTTAAGGACAGGGGATCATGTATATGGAGCTGGTACTGGAGGCTGTACTATGCTAGGCGTAAGTTTGCCCTCAGTCCAGTTGGGCTTGATAAAGAAAGAGGAGGAGCAGGTGAGGAATTTCTACTTTTCTGCTAAACTCTTAATGTGGCGTCTGCGTACGTGGGTAAAACTCACGCTTGGGGATATTCTTAATTAAAAATAGGGGTTAATAAATATATACCTACAGTCATTGAAGAAGATGTGGACTTAAGCAAATCAATGGGAGTCAGTGCAACGTATGAGTGTGTGTTACAACACTACTACAACCTGTCAGCGGACAGTGACATTTTTGCAGGAAGAAGTGCTGTTTTGTGTATTGTGACTAGATTGTAGAAAAGGCGGCCGACAATAACTACCTGAATGCTGGACAATTTAAGGACCTCATCTCTGTCCACTTAATGGTGAGTAAGTGGTGTGTGATCAGAGTTTTTAACGTCAGCTTCCATTGACTCAAGCAGCTAACTAGTGTTAGCCTCGCTGTTTTACACGAAGGATAACTTGTTTCAACACAGTTTCGCCATTGTTTATTTTTTTAACTTTTATATTCAGTTAAACGAATTTACCCTGAACAATGTACTGAAATGACAGTGACATGTTGAAGAATAACGTTAAATTAACACTATTGACATGTAGCATCGCTAAGATAAAATGTAAATACTTGGCAGCTTTTAGCTTGTAAAATGTGGCTAACTATTTATACTTGCCTGTCTCTGTCCCGACGGACGCTAACTCGTGTTTTATTTCATTTGTTGTTTTAAACTGTCATCGTTAGAAGTTAGCCCATCTGCTAACCTGGTCCTGTCATCTTGTACAGGCCACGGATCATCCAGCGGTTTCCCTGATTTTCAAACCGCCGTTGGATGCTAAGTTGCGGCCTGAAGTGCCTCCCGTGTCCGTGCCATTGTGAAACCTGAGCGACAGGCGCCCTCTGACGACAGGCATTCAACATGACAGGTGAGTAACATTAAGTTTATATGCGTTAAACAAACAGACACAAACTACTTTAGACAATACAGAAGTTGAATCATTGGTAAGAATCAATCAGGTAAGAATTTTATATCATTTTATACCATTTTATATAATTTTATAAGCAGTAATAATAAATCCAATCCCGATTATATATGTGGCATTTACCAACATACTAAAATGTTCCTTTTCTTTTGCCAATAGGTTGAGAAAATTCTGATTGATAGTAAAAACTGGAAGGTTTGTAGCAAAGCTTAAAACATTTTTTTTGTAGTAGCAGTAGTAGCCTGTCTGTACTAAAATTTAGTTAGATTGGTTTATATTTCCAAAAAGTTTTGCAGTGTTGAGTAGAATTCTATTGATCACACAGTATTGAATGCTCAGTAACCCTGATGGCTTTAGATAAGTGTATTAATTGGACATAAATAACTCACCCCACATTTGTCTGTGTCACAATCCACTGAGTGCTACAGTCCTGGCACCAAAATCCCACAGAGTGAATGGTTGTCCCACGGTTTCCCTGCCACTCTCCCTACCCTTTCTCTGTTTCTGCAGGATAGTAAGCACCATTGTGTCAGTGAGATGTTTATTAATGAGAGAGGAGGTTGAAGGGAGCAGAGCAGAGCTGCTGTAGAAATACTTATCGCTAATCTCATTGTTAATACGGTAAACCTGCTGATGGACTGAAAGCTTGGAGAAGCTACGTAAGAGTTAGTTTTAGAGCAGAGGAGTTTTTCTTTGCTTTTCACTGGTGTCACAGTTTACTCAGGAGTTGGAACTGGCAGACTTTAAAAACTGGTTTTATTAGGTGTAATTGTCCATGCAAGTTTATTGTCAACGTTGTTTTATTTATTGGCTTGGTTGTGAGTGTTCCATTTTGCATTTAGATGACTTCTAATTCTTAAAACGCTTAACCGTAGGTGTTTTTTTGCCAATTTTTATGGTTGAAATACTTTAAAAACTAAATTTTTACAGCTATTATTTAGATTTGCTTTTCTTTCTGTAAAAGAGCAGTGTGTGTCTGAGTGTGCGTACTTGCCTGTGAGTCTTTGAGTCTGTGTTTGGCTGCCATGCCATTGCCTGCGCCTGATGTTGCTGCCTCTCAGAGGCTGGCACTGGACTGTCGCAGCCTTCTGGATCATCGGGTTGGCAAGGGTAAGCCACAACAACACCTCCTCTGTTCTCTCTGTCCGGTTTGTTCTCCGGCGCCTGAGTCTAATGTTACGAGATTCAACTGAATACAATGTTTTTCTTCAATATTTAAAAAAAAATTCAAAAATCAAGCTTCACGTAGACCATTTATGATCAGAATTATTACAAATTATGTTTATGTGTGGTGAAGATGTCATGCACACTGAGTGAACGCTGGCATCGTTTTTAATAATACTGTTTTTCAAATGTGCTGACGGAAGGAATCATGGCTCACACATTTTCTGAAATGTATCTTTTATTTTGTGGGCAGCTTTGGTAACTGTTCTGGAAAGATTGTTTTTATTCATTTGTAGTAGGGAGAGATAAGGATCAATTTTAATGTTGCTATAACATGGATTAACTGTAACAAACAATCAAATGAGCACAGAAGGAAAAGTGAAAGTAAGTAAAGGAGGAAGCTTTGGAAAGATTAACAATGGAGAGAGGGTGAAAAAAAAGACTGTGTGTGTGTGAGAGGCTTTCTCTCCTACTATCCCTGCAGCGTGGATCTGTTCCCTAATCTGTAAAGAGACATTGTTATGTTTTACTGCATGTGTACCACTCTCCTCTTCAGGAGGAGTGCAGTTGCCCACGACAGACAGGAAAATCCAAGGTCATCACAGCACGCTTCTCTCTGACGTTGACTCACCCCCCCTTCTGTTTGAGGGTGTCTTTGCCTGCATGCGTTTGTGTGTGTGTGTGTGTGTGTGTGTTCTGGGCTGGCAGAGTGCGTGTAATTCATTGCATCAAGCCTGCCTCTGCACCAATCACGGTGCACATTCTTATGCCTTTTAGCTCCGAGCACATGTGCAGGCATTCATCCTAGAGTGAGAGGCGTCGTGAGTGCGCTTGTGTGTGCGCGCGTGTCTGTGCGTATGAATTTTCAAGTGGCCGTAGGCACATCTGTGTTTTTACACGAACAACTAAAACCACATTAAGGAAACACAAGCGCTGAAAGACTCCAGCTTCACCAGTGATGTACGGTAAGCGGAGGTCATTCTTCTGACGTGTGTGTGTGTTGTTTTTCTGTCTTGCTCTGTATGTGTGTAATCCGAAGCATGCAGCTTTCAGCCAGTTTTCCTACATTCCACGCACACTTTTTTGTTATTCTGTGACAGACTGCAGTTGGAAGTGCAGGTTGACATTTCCTTAAGGCTAATAATTAGAACTCCATCTCTGTTTGAGGATGTTTTATTAAACTGTACCACAGGCTTCCTCTGTGCCACCTGATCTCAAGATGTTTTTTTACGGTAACTGGTTTTGTTTTTCACCTTCATTTGATTTGTTGAAGGTAGTAACATTAGACTCTTAGAATGTAAAGTATCGTCAGCTTCCTGTTTCGGTGAGGAGGCTGTATATCTTTATTTTCTTGTATTTAAAAATAGGATTCTAATAACTTTCTTCATTCATACAATATTTAAAATGAATGAATTTATACCTTGGCTGAGTGGACTTTGGATCCGGATAAATGTTGTTGCTGACAGTGGTGTTGTTGTCACAGCGACCTGCAGATGTGTAATTCATTGATTAGGTCTAATTACAAATACAGGTAGCTTTGCCTGGAGTTTGTAAACTGTTCATGTGTTGGTTATCAACATAGATAGCCAGGAGTAACTCAGTTCTGCTTTGCTTCATGCTGCAGCAACCAGTTACTGCATATTCCATCCAGACCCCACAGCCCTCTCTGAGTAGTTCTTCAACCGTGATTCATCGTGTGTCAGATTGGCTTTGTGTCACGAGGACTTATTGGCAGCTGTGTCGTTGCATTGGTGGTAGCACACCAGCCATGTTCACCGACGCCCACGGAAGGTCTGACTCAGTGTAGAGGGATTACCGTCGGTAAACGTGTATACGTTATAAATGTCTGTGGAAACTTTATTAATAGTCTGTGTCCACGGCAGGGAGAAACCACCTCAACATCCTCTCCTCAGCTGAGCTTCAGCTCTGGCCTAAACTCACTGAGTTGCAGGTTGTGTGACCATTACTTGACTGTTTACATTGTTACAGTTGCTCACATTCATTCTCAGCCCTCAGTGTGAGGTTGAAGGTTGAACTTTATTGATCTGGCTTTCTGTTCCATGTAATGTTCCTTAGAATGGCAGTGTCCTTGATCATTTGTCTGTCTGCAATTCAGTGACAAGGTCTCTGGTTTGAGACCCACCCTGGAATATGTCCAAGGTGTGTCTGGAACCTATTGAATTGAGGTAATTTGATTTTTTTTTAATATCCACTTGACTTTAATTGTTTTCGTACTCTGCAGAAACAAGAGTAAGAATTTCCTTGAACAGGAAAGTGTGTTTCTTTACTGTGTACATGACGGTAAACACCTCGCATCTTGACCAATCCATAGTGGCCAGTGTTATTCATTCTATGGAGCTTACAAAAGATTAGCAATACAGAAAGCGTGTTGTTGCATGAATGAGTGTGACGGAGAGGTTGGGACAGCCTGTGGCCTGGTGGTAAGAGGATCAGGCGTTATATCAGTGGATAGCAGGTTTGAATCCCACCTTAGTTGGCTGAAATGTTATCTATGTGAATGTTAGAAACAAATGAAAAACCACGCAGTGTCACAGATCTTCCTCTCAGCAGTTGAAGTTGTTGTTTGATGTCATTTCTTTCCAGGAATTGTGACAGCAGCTGTTGTTCAACAGCAGTTAAATACTGTGGTTGTAATTCTATTTGTTGTAAAGTGATAAGCCATCACTGTTGTTTGTTTTCAACCCCAGCAAATCCATGAACTCCTCTGAAGACTGTTTGTACACGTAGTAAAATACATTCTCTGTTCTTTGAAGCCCATTAAAACTATATTTACCCTTGTCAGCCACATGATGTTAGTTCACAGAACAGCCTCAGATCAGCAGGTGCAGGTATGATGCTGAGAATGGGCTCAGTGTATGTGTTGGCTTTAATTCCACCTTCGTAACTGTGTAAAAACATTAGTCTAACTTGTTTGCTGCATGTTTTGTTTGTGATCAGTGCTGTGTGTTTGTGAGACGTGTGTGCAAATTTGCTTCCATCACTTGTACGTCACAGAAGAACTAATCAAGCACTAACTTGCCTCAACTGGAGTTTTCAATTTGCCCCTTTCTGTTTTTCTAATTTAGTGTGCTTCGTCTTTTACTCTCACTGTTGCCCTGATGTGAAAATGTTAAGCTGTCGTCTGTGGGGAACTTGAGAGTGTGATCTGTTAGTGCTCCAGCCTGTTGTTACTAGGATAAAAATAGCATTGTGATTGGCTGGATCTTTGCTGTGGTGCTTTAAAGGGGCTGTGCCCCTCAACATGTGTGTATAATGTTGGTTCCCAGAACCAGACTGACCCATGTGTTCTTCAGCTGTAGCTGAGCAGGTGGCAGAGGTGTGATTATTGTGTCTTCTTCCAACAACCAGCAATTTAGTGTTCCCTCTTCAACCAAACACTGAATTAAAGTGCACCCTCTCTGTGTGGGTATCTGTCAGCGTGCATGGAAGTGTTGAGGCACCGCTTGTCCAGAACCTGAGTGTGTTGTCATCTTGCCATGCAAAGTGGGTGGATGTCGTGAGATTCCCTGCTACATGTGTCTTTTGTTTTTTTCACCATCAGTGTGCAGTCTGTCCACCCACTGTGTAACTCTTTTAGATTATCTCCCTCTAACCCACCATTATCACCAACACTACTGTAGAGACACCAAACAAGGTTCTCTGTTTATTATACAGCCCCGTGAAGGAACATGTTTTAACTGTACAGAACTGTTTAAAGTTATAGACATGCAGTGGTGATGTCTCTCTCTGAGATGATCTGCCTCCACTGCTTAAAAAAGTCACAGCGGAAACACTGGCTTCAGTTTCTTTCCTGCACTGTTTTTTATGTCTGCTTTACGACAGATATTTTTTCCACTGCTTAAAGTAAATGGAGCAGATTTACAATCAATAGGACATATAACAAGGAGCACAAATCAATGGCTAATTCTGTCCTCCTGCTTTGTCCCAGTCCCCTTTTTTCCATCTTTCCTTGTTCTTTTTTCCGCACTCCACCGATTCCTGTGTCTCCTGCTGACCTCTGTGCCCGGGCCCTGAGCCTTGAATCTTACTATTTCTTACTATTTCTAACTATTGAATCTCTTTGTAACTTTTTCAAAAGGGGGAAAAACATTCACATCATTTCAAGATAAAATTAATAGTCAAATATTAAAAAAGGATTTATGTTTCAGGATTTATTTTATATTAAAATGACAACTCTATGGAGCTGTACGTGCACACAGTGAATAAAGATGGTTTTCTTTTTTTTTTTTTACATGTGAGGCGCTCAAGGACACTGTGCTTCCACCTTCCACCTAATATAGGTTGCTTAAAACAAACCGCAGGGGCCTTGGACGGGCTGAACGCAGCTCAACAGAGGGAGTTTAAGTGCAGCTCTGTGAACATTCTTTTTTAAAAATCACTGTCTCCAAAGCAACTGACATTCTTTTTTACAATTCTTTGCAATCATATATTTAGCATGGAAAAAAAAAGCACAAAAAGTTGTCATGACAATCAGTCTATTTATTTACTTATTTAAAGGTTAACCTCTTTTTTTCTCCCAGGGTCTCCTTATGAGTCATCACTGCTGAATTTCCCCAACCAATCAGAGTCCAGCTCTTGCTGACTGCTGAGGTTCCTTTACCCTCAATGCCAAATCCAAATACTCAGTCTGTGTGCAGCTCCCATCTCTCCAAGGTTATCTAGAGTGACAGCGGAATAACGCAAGATTATCAGCATACCGTTGTTGTAATTATAAATGTTGAGTCAGCAGACTGGAAATATGCTAACATCGCTTCCGATTCCAAAAGAAAATAGTACTAGTAGCATAAACATTTCTCCGTTTTCTGCTGAACACATCACACTTTTCCTCTCTGCTTATAAAACGTTTGGCTCTTTATTCCTTCTGTCTTCTTATTCCATACTTCAACAGTTCCTGGAAACTCTGTTTACTTTGCCCTGTCACACTAATCCAAACTCAGCTGTTTAAACAGTTCTAACAGTACTGTTCATTTCATCACATTGGCGCACATTGCTGTATGTTATTTAGCTGTCCTCACCTTCCTTCACTACTCGTTTGATTCATGCCTTTTTTCTATTTCCCTCATTTCCTGCCATTGACTTGTGGGAACAGCGGAATTTGTCAGTGATTGTTGTTGTTATAGATTGTTGCTTTCCTGGAATTCATGACCCAGTTTTTGCTCAGTGTGTCATTACTAGTTACTGTAAATACTTAACTAGTCCTACTGCCAAAATGCAGTTTGACTTGCATCATCCTCACTTTAATCTGCAGATATTTACAGAAACCTGGCAGAAAATACAGAGAAAAGCAAAGTATTTTTCGAATTACTTTTTGTTTTCCTGTCACTTGAACAGTGTAAGTAACCTGCCTTCCTCTCTATTGCTCCTTGTCCTCAGGGGTTTGTGGCTGTTGTGGAGCACTCAGGCCTCGGTACAAGCGACTGGTCGACAACATCTTCCCAGAAGACCCAGAGGTGAGAAGCTCCTGTCTCTAATAACATTTTATCACCTATAGGTTATGAAAGAGAATAAAAACATTAGTTCCTTTATTGTCTTACAGTACACTAAGAAGTAGTACACAGTATGCAGTATACAGTATATGCCTGTGTGCTGCTGCTGTGGCTGCTGCTGCAATAACCTACTTTACTGGTCAGGTCTGTTTCCAAAAATGATGTTCAGGGGACAAAAGAACCGCAGGCTTCTTTTTACTCCTGCTGCTGCTGCTGCTGCTGTCACTGACAAATGGAATTTAAAAATACAGTGTTGTGACATAGAAAAGTCCTCATGGTACAGTAAACCACTCATTAGAACAATGCTACTAGTCATTGGAAGAAGTTCCAATTTTCCAGCAATAGCAGTGCGTCAAAAAGATGCAGGTTCTCTGTGATTTACTCCACTTCACAGAGAAACCCTGACAAACAATGCTGCTTCATAACAACACTGTGATTGATCAGGAATTCCCGCCACAGAGAGAACGCATCTGCCAAGCAGACCAAAGCAGAAGGAGCTCCCTACTCATCTCTTTATTAACCGGCCCTTATTTCTTTCTACAGCAGGCACTCTCAGCTCCTGGAGCTGAAGAACTGTGAGCTAATAACATTAATGAGTGACCTGAATACAGTCAGGTCTGCCAGGAAGCCCTGCCAACTGGAAAGTCTTAAATTAAATGAAGCCGCCAATAAAATGGCATTACTGTGAAAGCAGCCACGCGATCACACTGTAGACAGAGAGCTCCAGTCATGACATAATAGAGTTCAGGTGACAGTCAGTATCACATACTGTTTGTGTGCGTCTCTGTTGTGTTACTGTGTACATCAAGCAGCCACTGCTACAGAATTGGGGCAGATGCACAACAATATCCAACCTGTTATCTTTACTGTATCCTAAACAATAAAATACAATGATGTATCCTAAACTCTTTCATGAGTATTAGTAGTACATTAGTATTTCAGTGTGACCTGTGTCTTCCTCTCCGCTGCCCTCCTAGGATGGACTGGTGAAAGCCAACATGGAGAAGCTGACGTTCTACGCTCTGTCAGCTCCAGAGAAGCTGGACCGTATCGGAGCTTACCTGTCAGAGAGATTGTCAAGGGATGTGGCCCGACACAGATACGGGTGAGCATCACCAAAAAAAAAGTTCTTTGAAAAAAGATCTTCTCGATAGATAAGATAAACTCTTGGCATCATTTTCTGGTCTGTGTGGTATGTACAAGTCTGCATCATTTTCTGGTCTGTGTGGTATGTGTCGCTACTGCGATGTAGTGACAAAACCTTGTCACAAATGTCTTCTCTGTCTGACTTTTCAGCTATGTGTGCATTGCCATGGAAGCCCTGGACCAGCTTCTGATGGCCTGCCACTGTCAGAGCATCAACCTGTTTGTGGAGAGTTTCCTGAAGATGGTGCGAAAGCTGCTGGAGTCAGACAAACCCAGTCTGCAGATCCTAGGAACCAACTCGGTGAGTAAGAGATCTTAAATGTTGTTACAGCAGAAAAAACACATTCAAGCAGACTGATATAAACAAATGCCTACACACCTGAACTCATCATCATCATCATCATCAGTTATTTGGATTTTTACCCTCTCTCTCTCTCTGCTTACAAGCAGAAAAGTCAAGTTGTTTAAAAAAGACATAAAGTGTAGGATGTATAGTGGGAGAGTGAAGTATCCGCTGCTGTGGGGAGCAGCTATCAGTGCTCTCATCCAGGTCGGCAGAGGATAAATAAAAGAAAATCAGATTAGCTGAAAACCACAGCAAAGCTCTGCCGTCATTTATACGGATTTATGAGACATACCAGCCCCTCCCACCTCATAGTCTTCATCATATCTGTCTTATACACTAATACATGAGCAGTAAGACAGAGTGGATGCCATCTGTCGATGCAGTGCTACAGAAACACGACTGTATCTGAATATCAGGCTGTTGGTCGCTGTACTTTGTCTGAGAATGATGTCTTAATGTAAAGTATCAATCCTTCAAAGGGAAATAAGGGTCTGAACCAAACGGACAAATAAAAATCCTGCTGCCTTTAATGACTTCCACAAACCAGGGTACAAAGTATTGTATTCAGTAACAATGTATACCCTGACTTCTTTTTACAGCTAATTATAGCTCTGTGCTGTTGTGCAGACTGTCAGGTAGCATATTCACATAGTGTTTTGTAGCATTCACTGTGTAGCATAGCAGGAGTTGAAGTGAGGATTAGGGATTAGAGAATTTATGACCACAGGAGCTGAGGCCCAGCAGGCCGTCTCACACTCTGTTCCACAGTCGTGAGCCTTTCTGTGCACAGTCCATTTTCATACATCCAAGCCTTGAGCCTTTCTGTGCACAGTCCATTTTCAAGCCTAGAACACGTTGGAGCTCCTGAGGCCGTTATCTTTATGAATGGCTCTTGCCTTGTTCTTTTGCTCCCCGCTTTGAGAAGTGTATGAAGACACAGTGTTCTAAGGGAGCAGACAGTAATTCTGGATACTGTCTGGGTATCAGCTGCTGTAGCAAGTTTACTGCCGCAGTTGAGCAGCATCGCAGGAGCAGCTGATTTCATTCAATTTGTTCAAGTGTACTTAATGAGAATTCAGAAGCCGTTCATAAGCATTTATTTGGATGTTCAGTTCCTACTAGAAGAAAATCAACCTTCTATTCTTTAGAGGGTCCTGGAGTAAAGCTGCAGGAAATAAGAGTTTTTAAAAAAACTATAATTATTGTTTACTGCACTGATCCGGTCTGAAAATGTACATTAGAACGGGGAGTGAATGTACTGCAATTACCAGAGACCACGGAGCATTCTTGCAGGTTGTGCAACTTCTTACATAATAAAACAGAAATCACGTTTGTCAATACCTACATTGTGTGATGTTAAATGTCAGTGTGTTTAAACAGTGACATTTCCAGGCCCAGTGGGAGAGCTCCGTTCATCCTTCATGAGATGTGACAGTGCAGTAGCTCATCATTAGTGGATAGACATTCATCATATGGTTTTAATTAATCTAATCTTATACATGTTTTATATTTTTCAACCCCTCAGTTTGTAAAGTTTGCCAACATAGAGGAGGACACGCCGTCGTACCACCGCAGCTATGACTTCTTTGTGTCACGCTTCAGTGAGATGTGCCACTCTGGCTTTGAGGACCCCGACATCCGCACCAAGTGAGTGGACCTAAATATAAACTGCTATTTTTACACTGCATTAAAAACATCTTTTTATAGACTTTTGCTGCTGTGGACAAGACTTTGACACCCAAAGTAAAATCATCTGTTAAAGTGATTTCGTTTTTTAAAATTTTTTTATTCCATTTTCTAAAAACAGAAATAACACGTTTGAACAGTCTAAACAAAACATTACCAGCACATCAAGGGCAGAAAGTGACTAAAATAAGATTGACTAAATATAATTTTCTTTTTTTAGATGCGTTGAATTGATTTCTGCTTTTTGTGACTCTCTTCCCTCCAGGATACGCATGGCTGGTATCAACGGTCTGCAGGGTGTGGTGAGGAAGACGGTGAATGATGAGCTGCAGGCCAACATCTGGGACCCTCAGCATATGGACAAGATCGTCCCCTCTCTGCTCTTTAACCTGCAGAGTGGAGAACGTACAGAGAGGTGAGGACGTTCACTGTGTTATTCATGTTGATGTTCATCTTCTCAGGCCTTAGGATTTACTTTAGTACATAGTTTTATTTTTATTTAACTGAATTCAGGACAGTTTACAGGTAGTTTAGAACTTACAGTACAGAGCACAACTACACACTACACTAGAACTAATTCATGAATATAGCTAATGGGTTAAATGAGCGTGGCATTTCTCTCTCTAGTTGTGTTCATTGCTGCTGAAGAGTTCTGTTAAAAATGTCTGTGATTGTCACTTAAGACTTAAACTGGGTCACCGCTGACCTGTCACGCCTCAGCTGCCTGTCTGGAGCTGTCTGTCATGTCTGTGTGAACCCACTGACGGCTGCACTGCTGCCCTGTGGCCATCTGAGTGTCTACCTGCGGCATCAGAGGACAAAAACCTCCTCAGAGATGGGAGAAAAATATTGAGCAGAAAGGGAGAGAGGGTGAAATGGGAAAGGAAAAACAGAGAAAGTGGAATTTGTCGAGAATAATGGCAGCAGATCACATTTATAGCTCGACCATCTCAGGGTAAGAGTTGCTGAGTTCCTTTTTTCTTGCCAGCACTTCACATAAGGAAATTAAATTTGATGTCAGTGCTGAAGAGTAAGTTTCAGTGAAGCCAACGAGATGAAAAACCAACGGTTGGGTGGAGGGTGGATGATGGAGAATGGAGAATGGAGCCATTGAAATGTAATTCAAATAAAAGGGCAGATGGACAGAACGGACAGACAGACAGAAACACTTCCCAGCAAGCCTCTGTCCCCTCGCTGTGAGTCACGAGGCCTGGCCCTGCTGTGAATCCTCCAATTATCTTCACACCCAGTCTGTCAACACCAGCCACAAAATTCACAACAGTAAGGACACAGTCAGGTTGAATCACCAGATGGTGTGTTTTTCTGCCTGCTTTTTGTGGCTTTACAAGCGACCTGACCCTGAGGAGAAGTCGGGATGGCAAGAAATAATGTTTGTGTTTGGCAACTTGGAAAAGCAGCAAGAAATATGGCATCAAGCATTTGATTTTAAAAAGTCATCATCATAATGCTGCCGTTGTTGTGATGCGCACATGTACAACTTAACGTGGTTGACTTTAGAGGAGCCACTTACAGCTGGGAAGTTCCTCTTCCTGCACTGTAGCAGTTGCAGCAGAAACAAATGAGTCAGGTTATGAATAAATAACACCGTCATGGGTGGACCAGTCGAGGAAGTCATGGCACAGTTGGAGATACAGGACGTTTTAACTATTCATGAGAAAAAGAGAACGGTCGGAGCCAAGGCAGAAGCTGACACGTTTGATATTTACATAAAATATAATGCAAACATTACTCTGACTGCAGAGAAATAACATCACCCTGAAGGTGAAAGCTGCAGTGTCATAGCTCTGTGTTTGTGTGTGAAACATGAAGTCATTGTCTATAATGGATGGTTGATTCAATCTGTTTTGATTCCAAACCTTTTATACTTATCTCCTCTTCTCTCCTCTTTCTGCCCCTCCCTTCTTGTCTCTCCTCCCTGCCCTCCTCGTTTCACATCCTTCTTGTTTTTTTTCCCCTCCATTCCTTCCCTCACCTGCATCACTCCTGATCAGCCGCTCCCCGTCGCCACTGCAGGCATCAGAGAAGGAAAAGGAAAGCCCGGTGGAGTTGACCGAGCGCTGCTTCAGGGAGCTGCTGGGACGAGCTGCCTATGGCAACATCAAGAACGCCATCACGCCCGTGCTGATGTAAGACAGCCTCAGAATGAAGTGTCCTGTCCTGGTGCTGTAGTTGGTTTTTGACGCACTTGTTTTAACTCAGAACACGGGATGCAGCTCAGGAAGTGACTGTGACATTTTTAGCTTTACCTCAGTTCACCCCAGAGGAACCACAAGGTCAGTGCAAGGTTAAGCAGTCATCACTGATGCGAGTGCATCGTTAGAGACCTAAAGCTACACGCTGCTGCTCTTTGCTGCGTTACCATGATGCACCACTAATGTTGTCACTGGTCAAGTTTGCATTTGCAATTTGACAGTCGCTACTTGTGGTCCGCTGAGGAGAGAAGAGTATTTTTAGTCCACTGTCTCTGGATTTTAATTTATTCACTTTGACTCTGAGCTATTTGTGAAGTTAAGCATTTTTTTTGTCAGAATGTTTATTAACCTGTCTCACTTTTATTGTACTCTACATTTTTGTCTGCTACTATTAAGATTATTCATCCTAATTTATTTGTGAGGGAGTGGTTGAATAACTACAGGTTGATTTTAATGATGTTTCAGGATGTCCCCCCCCCCCCCCATTACCCCTCTCCCTACCCCCCCATTTTCACTTCCCGC